GGAAAGTACAAAGTTGTGAGAGTTTTGCCTTTCACTTTGTCATCTGTGAACTTCTGCAGTCGAGGCTGCAGCCACTGCTTGCTGAATATTTGGTAAACTAAACGCTTCTCTACATGCAGTGATAACGCTACAGAGAAGTCATGTTGATGCCAAGAATCAGTTTGTTCTGCAGATGTCTTAAAGCTCTGGAGAAACCAGTGGTTTCATACACTTCCACCCAGATTACATCTAGTACAGTTTTGTATCCAAGAAAGGATCAACCAGTCGCTTTCCCTTTAGAACTTTATGCCTCATGCGATGATGTTCTGGAACTTTAGCTCTGACAGCTGGTTGTTTCCCCAACAACTTCCCTCATTTGTCTCCTTGGGGTGAGGTTCTGTTTCTCTAAAGAGATGTGAGGCCACAAGGAAGTGAATTCGCTTCACAGGCCTAGCATGGGTCTGTGAGACTAGGTTACACTTCAGCCTGTTTTCGCCGGCATGCCTGACCAAAGCTTTTAGGACATCATCTCTTGGATCTTTAGGAATGTATGAAAGACTGTCCTATTTCCCTCTGCATGGCAAATATTAAACTGAAGATCTTGGAGGGGAAACAGGGATGAGGCTTTTCACTACCTTTCATAAAGGCCAGAAAGACATCTGGACACAAGCGGGACAAAGATTTCTTGGAACCTAGTCTGACCTCCGGTGTGATTCCCGGAACATTGTGCTGACATGTCCGCTAGACATCCCCTGTGACACAGCGCCATCAGAAAATGGTTGAGAAATATTCAGGGGTTCCCTGCTTTGTGGCTGTATCTTAATGCACGTGCTTCCAGCTCCCGGAGTGTAGAAGCTCTGTGCTTGCACAGATGCTCTCATTTGTCATAGCTTTGGTATTTGGCTTCAGGAAGCACATTATTTCACAGAGGCAAATATAACTAGAGTCCAAATCAGCCACCACCCGGAAAGAGGAATTATGAAGAGGGGGCGATACAAAGGAGTCATAGTTCAGTTTTTAAGGTACACTGTTTATTTAGATCTTCTGAGTGGTGAAGCCTAATTTCACAGTGTTTGTTCCATCATATTGAGCTGATTCATATTATTGGAACTTGGTTAAAAATGTTTCCTAATTTCTTAACTGCAGACTTGTTACTGGCATGTCATCTTGTGGAATAAAGTTCTTAAATGAGCCAGGGGAAAGTGATGAACCACTAAGCACCATAATAGCAGCAGCAATGTAAATCCACCTAGCTGAGCCCAACACTTGGCAACACCACATGCAAGTCACCTGGAAAACAATAGCAAACAAGAAAAGGTGAAAGTAGGGGAAATTCTGAAGGAGACTGCATTGCATACCCTAAGGTTAATTAGTGGGGTTGAAAATGCAGGTACTACTGAACCCTATTTTCTTAACTCTAAGAAGACATGACTAACCAAAAGTATTTTGGTTACTTTTGTTTGCCTTAGTGAGCATCACAAAATCAGGACAATTTAATAACAGATATAAACATGAAGCCTTTCAGAAATACGAAAATGTTACTATAACAGGAAACTAAAAAAAAATTTGAGGCAATAAAATGCACTGGTGGTTTGGATTAATTTGCGCAAGAGCACTTAGTGCGAGCTTTTAGGGGCAACGAGGATGGTTGGCAATCTCATGGAGAAATACATCGCAGGAGGTCCAAGCCCTGAGTTGCAATTCTGCGCACACGTTTTTCAGTAAAAATGATACTGGATTCCATTAGAAGTGATACTTGGAAAGAAGGAAAAACCCTAGTGACACCGAGAGGCAAGAGTGAGGTGCCAGGATTGCATGTTAGATAATGAATGCAGGCCACAATCCTCTCTTTACTCCAGGGGCAGTGCTGGGTATCTAAAGCATCCGTGGCTCAGAACCACCAGACAAAAATGTGCCCAGATTTGTATATGCTGTTTTACTTCTGCACTCAAGTATCTCCATGTGTGTGTCTTTAAAGGACCTGTCCCCTTAGGACAACTCTGTCAAAAGGGATGCATGAGCAGGGGAAAAGAGGGCAATTGAATTGAGGAAACACGCCCAGCAATATTGAGGGGGGCAGCAGGAGATGAAACATGTAGGCAAAGAGCCAGCTGTTCCACAGAGATCGTTAGGGCCCTGTACCTTTATGAGGCATGTCTGTGATTAGCAGGGTGGTAGGGCAGAGATTGGTGGTTTCAGCTCTAGTGGGTTCCCCCAACACTGCCTCTGCTTCTCTTACGAAGTTGGGGAGGCTGAGTGTTTTGCTCCCCCCATTTCTTCTACAACATCAAATGTGAGGTTGCTTGTATGTATGCACCTTGTCCATCAGTGACCCTTCTGGAGGATAAAGCATTCCATGAATAGTGTAGGCAAATGACTTCTGGAAAAGCACGGTGTGGTGTAAACGCTCAGATCTATGGAGCAAATTGCCTGGGATGCCAACCTTTGCCCTTTCCAAAGCTGCAGCTTCCTATGTAACAAAAAGGTGTGAACCTCCAAGTATGCAAGTCCTGCCATGTTACTCATCCTCTGTTGACTAGTCACATTCTCAGTCCATATCTAGCTTGACAGAGGAGTTATTGTTTTCTGTATATGTCAATGGATGTACACACAGAGATTAGTGGCTGAAAAGTATTGTGACACAGAGATTTAAAAATGCGTTTTTAGTGGATTGGCTTGACTAGACTGTCTTTGGTTAGACATATTCCAACAGGTTGACTGGCTGATAATGGGACTTCTAAAGATAAGGCCATGAACCTGCCTAGTGATAGTGAAACAAGAAAAGAGGGTGGAGGAACCCTGGACTAAGCTCAAGGCAGAGCCTAGAAATCATCATTATTATCTTTCTATACCACTTCTATAGTTGAAGCTCTCATGGATTAAATTAGATGTGCTACACTGAGACCTCATTTGCATGACACAGTGTGCTATTGTGGATTAATTAACCTGTGATTATCTACAATGTGTGTGGGTTGCATACAACCACTGTTTTGAATATGCAGTTATTCTTTCATGGTTAAAGGCAATTTTGACAGGATTTGAAAAGTTTTTTGACCAGGACATGCATGCATGCATGCACAAACACACACACACACACACACACACACACACACACACACACACACACGTTTTCCACAGAGCCTGGATGGACCTATGGAAAAAGGAAGTCTGAATTTTGGCAGCTTTAATGGCTTCATGTTCTGGTGAAAGGGCTGGCTTGAACTTTTCCACCTTCATGAGCATCAAGTGTTTTTATATGTTTGTATTTTGGAACTTTTGATGTATTTTATTATATTGTTTTTTGAACTCTTATAAACTGCCCAGAGAGCTTCAGCTATTAAGCAGTATATAAATGAAAATAAATAAAATATAAAGACTCAGGCGAGAGTGGAAAAGCACAAGGACACCAAGAAGACTCAGATCCAGCCCACAAAACTAGAGAACCTCACCATAGTGGTGGTGATCCACTGGTCACCTCATGAACAAAGATTACTCATGGCTTTGCTTTTCCTGAATACATAGTAAAAAATGGACCTCTCTCTGGGTCTGTCCATGGTTGAGGGCTGCTACATTTGGCATCTCCTAGAACATTGCCCAGGCAAGACTTTCCATTATGGACAGCCTCAAGGGTGCAGTTCTACACTTGCACAAGTCTGACTAAAATAATAAATAATCAAAAACAAATGTACTTAAAATAATAGAGAAAAGGGGTGGTAAGCCAGTGCAACCCCTCCAAAGTGTCACTTGGACACTTTTGAGGGTCTTTCACTGTCTGTCAAATCAGAAATTGTGAAAGGAAAACTCAAGAACAGAAAAGGGGAAAGCGGGAAAAAGCCATGGAAAGGTGAAAAGGGGCTCACAGTCATGGTAAGAGACACTGAGTCAGTGATGGTTGAACTTGTATGCCATTCTCCACCCATGATGGAACTGGTCACTTGGGTTCAAAGGACACAGCAACTCATCATGGATCCAGTAACCCCTGTGGCATGCCATGGGCTGTTGGGGAGCCTTGTTACCCTCAAACAAGCCACTCTGCAGGAAGCAGCCTTGGTTTGAACAACATGACAATCCACCATGGCTGGTTACCCATGATGAGTTACTGTGTCACATAGCTCTGTCAACAGAACGAAGTCCTCGCATAACCATGCAGGTCATCACTTATCAGGCAGCTTAATCCCAAATGCAAAAGGAAATCTTGAAATAAAGCATGGAAAAGCTCCTGCAGCTCTGTTGGAAAAGGCAGATAAGGGCTTGTCAGAAAATGTGACAGCTGCTCGCCCAGATGGCTCAACGCAGCCTCCCGGTTTCAGGGGCAGCGTGCTTTTGCGTCATACTGGGGGTTAGCCTTGGGAGAGGGCTGCTGCTTTCCGGCCCTGCATGTGGGTTTCCCAAGAGGCACCTCATTGACCAGTGTGAAGAACAGTGAGCTGGACTTGATTGACTGCTGGGCTCTCCTCGAGCCCATAAAGATGTAGGCTTCTCAGCAGGCATTCCTCTAGTCAGTGGAATTAATCACAATCCATCAAGATCCACACAGTTTAGTGAATGTTCCAGTGATATACTAAACAATGGCAGGTGTTTCAGTGATGCAGAGAGATGAGGAAACTGTCCCTCCCCTTTCTGCCCCCATCAGCTTTGATGATTGGGATTTGATAGAGAGGCTGGAAGAGAAAACCCGAGAAGAGAAGAGTGGAGATGCAGAACCTGAATTGCGGAGAATAATCCTGGGTTCAAACAGGTATAGCACTGGCATTCGCTAGGCGAGTCCACTGAGGAATAGCTACATGCCTGCAAGCTTGCTCTTTTAGGAATAATCCTACAAAAGGATCTCATGTTGTCTAACTCAAGGGCTCGCACTGATCAGCAGCCACTTCCCTTGTGGATGTTCTGGGAAAGGTTGCTGTGTGTCTAAAGGTCTTTGGTTCACGTTGCTAATTGATAATGCATATTCTGTTTGGAAAATCCTTCCTTCCTGCCCAAGCCTTCACCTCTGACCCTCTCGTTGTGTGTTCCCCCCACAGCATGCGATTGCCATCCCGTGGGTGCAGCTGGAAAAACCTGTAATCAAACCACAGGGCAATGTCCCTGCAAAGATGGCGTGACGGGCATCACTTGCAACCGATGTGCCAAAGGTTACCAGCAAAGCCGATCTCCCATTGCCCCCTGCATAAGTAGGTGGATGCTCTCTCTGACGTCTGTTCCGTAACATCATTAATCCTGAGTCTGGCCTGTTATTAACACCTGGGTGGATGGACTCACTTAGTGTTTGAACGAGGCAGAATGCTGGCCACTCACACATTTCTTTGTTATCACGTGACACGTGCTTGTTACTGACTCATGCTGTGAGCCCACTAAAATTATAATTTTTAAAACCCATCCATCTGATCCTCCCATCTCGTGTATGCAGTGGAAATGGCCAGTGGGGAGCTGGAGCCAAAAGGAAAGAAAGGCATATAAGGATTTGCAAACTAGACTCACTTGAGTGGCTGCACAATGTGACTCTGTAACGTCAAACCAGTAATGTGTGCAGTGGCCCTGCATGTGTCCGGGTTTCACTGTGCATGCTTTTGTGTATTTATGTATGTAAATATATGTTGGGTTCTCTCTCTCCCCCCTCCCATTGTTCCCACTGTTAGGCAATGTGAGTATAAACAAATACCCACCTAAACAAACAGCTGCAGGGTTCAGAATGTGCTGTGCTCTATGGAAGACACCCTTTGTGTGCTTCCCTTTATTCCTAGCAAAGCTAGCAATAAATTGCCTGAGGCAGGCTTCCAAGTGTGGTCGAAAAGTTTTCCTCTAAGAGCCTCAGAGTGCCTGGGATCTATCATGGCTAAGAGCTACTATCAAACCAAGAAGAAACAGCAGACTATGCAAACGCACCAGTTCAGCTAATGGTACAATAATCAGACTGATGATCAGTCCTGTACTGAACTTTTCAAAGGAGTTGGATGTTCACACAGCCCCATTAAAAATGAGGACTGTCTGGTGGCCATGGGGTGAGGGTTAAGCTGATTTATTTCAGTGCAAGTCTCTTGGCCCAGAGCAAATTCAGAAAAACAGCAACAACAGCAAACTCCTCGACTTTGGAAAATACCCCATCTCATGGCCAGTTCATATGTAATGAAGGGATGCTAACATGCTTAATTAGCCAGTGGCACGAGCCATTTGCTCACACATCCAGTGTAACACTGGACAGGGGACTCATCATGGCTACTTTTGTGACTGTGGTGAGATTATAAAGAGGAAGAGAGAAAAAGAAGGAGGGGCTCTTTTATTCAAGTACCTAAATAATATACTTATGGAAGTATCTTCGGTGGGTGACCTTCTTCACTATAAAGCATTCTCATGAAGATCAAAACATGTAATTTCTGTTCAGAGCTCGGTGGCCCTTATTTGAAAGCAGCATTTTCACTGGGTGCACCCTTTTGGCAGATTATTATTGAAAATAAGCACAGTGCCCAGAAATCCAATTCTGCACTTAACGTACCATTTCCTGAATTCAGGCTTATAACTGTGAGTCTTCCAGCCTCAGTTCACACGGCACTGGAATAGAGGGTGCTTTACTCTTGCTGCGTTAGTGATCCCAGCTAAAACATTCCATAGTACAAGGTACTGAGATCCATTCCCTTTATGGGTGCACTCGGGAATAATGCTGAGTCTGGAAAAGCTTCCTGCACCTGGGTGACCCCAGTAGGAGAGCTTGAGAATCGAACCCTTTTCTAGCTGTGGGATCTTGACCCTTCAGGCAAAAGCACTGCCCCATCCTTGTTTTGCCTCTTGCCTGTCCCACAGTGCGTCCAATATCAGTGATGTCAGGGCTCCCCACTGGGTAGCCATGAGCTGTGTGGGAAAACAGTATGTATTTCACTCTTTGCAAAACAGAAACAAAACAGACCTATTACGTATTACATTTGTTGATTAGCTGTTGGCTGGGATAGGAACACAGAAGCAGAACAACCGCTCTCTATTCACCTTTCTGAGTTCTCATGGTGCTGCATGTTTCACTCCTGTTGCAAATTAGATATCTGATGTGGTAGACCTTAACAGTTTGGTCCCTGTTTCTGCCTGCCTTCAGGAAATGCTTGTCCTAAACAGAAAACAGTGCAATATGCTGAGATTTTAGAATGCCAGAGAAACACCAGAGAATAGCCTTATCCTGCCCGTTCACTGCTTTATTTCTTTAACATGAATGCAGAAAAAAGTCATGGTTAAAAGAATCAAGTCTTTGCAGGAGATTCAGAACTGGTTCTCAGCATGTGTTTCAAATCATTCAGAAAATGCCCCCCCATTAATGCAGTGGTACTGTTGCTTCATAAAGTGCAGGTGGTCCAACGGCTCATCATGCAGCATCCTAGCTGAGGTGAGCCAGGTGGGCAGAGCCTGGATGGGGGAACCTCAAGCACGCCACCTTGGGCTCCCTGGATCTCCTGGACTGGCATCCCCACCGCCGACGTATCATGGTGCTGCACCCTCAAGTTCATATAATGCGGGAAGGGTCACCTAGAAGCAGATAACAGCTTTGTTGTTTTCCTCCGATGAGGTCCTCAGCTGTCAAACTCAATTGAGGCACCCCTACTGTTCGCTATGAAGAGCAGCAGCAGCTTATTCTTGAAAACATCTGACTGAAGATGGTGAAGGAAAACTCTAGACCAGTGCTGAATTTACATGCACACCTTCTTTCTCTGATATGGTGCCCATCAGATACGTTGGACTACAACTTCCATCAGCCCCAGTCAGTAAGACAAAGGTCAGGGAAAATGGGACTGATTGTTCAAATGTCCAGAAGGTATCATGTTGGGACTGTCTGCACACACAGTTACAGAGAACACTGTCTGGCCATGGAAGCTTTATGCACGTGATCACGTTTCTTCCATGATAGGATAAGTTCTGGAGTCACCTTTCTTGCCCTGCGAATGTGTCCTGCATATATTCTTTAGCTGGAGGAAATAACAACTCCACCCTTCCTTGTTTGTTTTTCTCTCTCCTGGTTCGTTTTTCCTTCTTCCCCACAGAAATTCCCGTCGTTCCTCCGACAACTGTGGCCAGCAGCACGGAAGAACCAGCAGGTATGTCCTTTCACTTTTAGCCTGCTCAACTCTTGGCAATGTTTTCTTTTTCAGTGATGGGATATGTTTACTGCCAGGACCATAGCTACAATCATCCAGACTTAAGAATAGCTTCGTATAGCCCCATTGACATCAGTGGGGCTGATGACATCATGACACAGTCCCACTGATTTTCAGTACATCTACTCTAAGCATGATTAAGGCTGGATCCAAACTATGGAAGCTGGAGGTGATCCAAGGCTTGTTCCTGGAGGGTGTTGGGGTTGTAACCAATGGGACTTAGCCTTCTTTTGGAAGAGAAAAAAATTAAAGGTCAAGAGTAACCCAGTTTAAAAAAAACAGTAATTTGTGTAGTATATTTTTATTTGCATAAAAATAATATATAACCACGTACATCCACTTCCTAACACACGCAGAGGACTGGGTGGGTCTGATCCAGCATGGGCAACCTGACCCGGAGGAGTATTTGGTAAAGTGAGTAGATCTACTGGTGATCCAGTAAAATGGGTTTCTGGCACACATCAGGCTAGGAGAGAGTAGCCTCTCCTTCCACTGGGCTCCTCTTCTGAGGCCGAGGAAGGAGGCGGGAGTTGCCAGCAAAAGGAGTTCTGAGGCGTGCTTTGCATGGGACTGTGTGGGGCTCTTCTGCAGAGTTTGCTGAGGGAGTAGAGAGCAATCAGAAACAGGCTGGCCACTTCTCGAACTGAGGTGCGTATGCGAAGACGCAAGTGGCACCTGCGGGCTCAGCTCTCTCTCCAGAATTGCAGCCCTCCGGCACAGAAGGGCAAGGAGAGGCTCTTCGTTGGACCAGGCGCGGTGGGCTGCACACCCCAGCTTTCTCCATATACTTGTTGTTTGTGGAGCTGCTTGTCATCCCTTGACGTGAGGGCAATGAAAAAACAGCTAGGACTGCTAATTTTATTTATTTGGAGAGGGAGAGAAGGAGGTTATTTTTAGACAGCCTGATAACGAACGTTCTCTAGACGGCTTACAGCATCGTAGAACACAATGTTAAAAATACTAAGCAGGGCTGCTCTGTTACCATCAGGCGGGGTGTGGCAGCCGATCCGGAGTGTCATGGAAGGGCAGCACATTGGTGGCTATTTAATTTATGCTTGCATTTGTACCAGGCGGGTGGGATTTTCTGCCTCGAGTGGCAAGTCATGTGACTGGCCTTGGTGCCCCCTGCATGCGCGCCTGTGTGTGCCTGCATGGGAGTGGAGCTGGTTGCTGCTTCACCTCAAGTCGCAAAAACTCTTGTGAGCACAACAGCAAGCCAAAGTGCCTCGGGTGCTGAGCACCAGCAGCAGGGCGGAGGGGAGGGTGGGTGCGATGGGATGCATTGGGAAGCTCCTCCCCGGCCCACCGCTGGTTGTGCAAGCCACCTGCGTGGTTCAAGGAACATGGAAGGCCCTGAGTCTTGGACTGAACGGAGTATGGAAGGGAGGGCTCCCAAACCTTCTGTCACGGGTGCCTGAGTCCCTGGCAGGAAGGAGGAAGCGGCCGTGTGATTGACAAGCTAAAATAAAATAGAATAGCATCCGTGGCCCCCTCTGTTCCTCAGTTGTGATGAAGCATGGCAGAATCAAAAGCCCAAAATTGACCTTTTCTAGATGATTAGCAAAACGCTTGTCATTATGATGGGTTGCTGGCAGTGAAGAAAGAGCTTTTATAGTGCGGAAAAGGCTGGAGAGATCATGCCTGGGTTTGAACATGACAGAAAGGCCCCGTGGGTAGCTCGCCACAGCGGGTTGTTGTGTTTTCCAGAGCCAGACCACCACCTGCCAGGTGACTTCTGTGGGGCAACAAGCCACCCTGACCACTCATGGCTTGCTTGACTTACTGTCAGTGGTCATGTTGTCCAAACCCAGAGGACTGGTTACCTTGTGAGTTTCAGGGGTTGGCTAATGAGTTGTGGGGCGAAAGCTGCTGCTACTGCTCATGAACCTGCCCTGCCAGCTGCCCTTTGCCAAGAAACAGGTGGCACTTTGGAGAGACCGCCACTGCTTTGCAGCCGCCTTCCCACTGCCCAGAAAAGTACACAAACGTCTTCATAATTTATATTTATCTGTCAGTATTTTGCAGGAGTGCAAGTTCACACTTACAGCTTCCATGTGTGTGTGTATAGTCATGTTCTTGTAAGTGTCAGCTATCCAAGGGAGGGAAGTACAGTCGGTAACATAGATGGAAATTGACAAGCCGAGACTGTAATATGTAGGCCAGTTTGCACACAGGGGGCAGACAGGTGTTCTGCAGGTGGTAGTGTCCCATTTGCTCCATCCCATTCTGCGGTTTCTAAAAGTTTTTTTAACTTTTTAACTGAAAAAGTGACATTTTTAGAACTGGGAAATATACATACATTTTCTGGGAAGGAGATGGAGAGGAAATATGTACAGATCTAATAACTAGAAAGTTAACTTAGGGCAAGTTTGCATTATATTTTTCCTCAGTTTACTTCTCAGCCATGACATATGCACATATTTCTCCTCCATAGATCTCTGAAGCAAAAAAGGGGGGCACAGAATTTGGCCATATTTACCCCCCCCCCCCAACACCCAGGGATGGCAGAATGGGACAAAGTAGGAGGTGCTGTGTTGGGTTTTGATGACACAGCAACTACCACAAGTATCAAAACTCCCACATAAGCCAATTTATGAAAAATAAACGACCCTGCAGAATCCACTCTGGGTTCACAGAACATGGGGATGCACCATAGCTGATCAGCCATGGGGAGTTAGCATGCCATGCAAACCAGCATAAAGAAATGGAAGTCAAGGACTGCCTTTAGCATAGAGCAAGTAATATTAGTTACATAATTATTGTGGGCATTATCATTATCATAGTCAGCTACTACTTTCCATTTGGTCTGAAAACAACAAGAATGTAAATTTCTATTCTCAGTTAATAAAGAATTATTATCGGTGTGGAGGGGACGCAGCAAACACCCAACTCTGCAGCCCATAAAAAGTGCCTGACAGTATCTCCCAGATTCCTAAATTTTAAAAATGGTTATTTATCCATTCCTCTGCGCATATCGTTTACAAGGGAACAATCCACCTTTTAAGAAGCAAATTGTTGCACAAGGCGCCGTCTCCTTTGCCGCAGAAGGAAAGTTCAGCCAAACTGAGCAATCTGATTGGCTGTGGGACCCAAAGTGCGTGATACTGGTTCAGTAGCCATTTCATTGGAGTTCTTCAGTCCGGGAGGATGAGCTCCTGCATTACCGTTTTTATTTGATTGCCTGGCGCTGTCTGCACGCGGCAGCCTTCGCATTCCCTCTCCGCATACCAGGCCCTCTCAGAGAGCAGGAGCGGCTGAGCTGCTTCCCTGACGTATTAAAAATGAAGAAAGGCCACATCAGGGTTACACAAATGGCTATTTTGTAAATGCGTAGATTTAACAAATGAACATTCTGAACAGAAAAGAGTTATACGTCAATAAATACTCCTTTTTATTGAACAAGTACTTTCCCAGCTTTTTTCTGTGCAAATTCACCTATTATTGTGGAAGTAGCAGCTTTCGTGCTTTGCCAGTTCCTGTTAAACAGCGCAAGGCCATTCAGTTAATCTTGTCCCATAGCTGATAGTGGTAATCCTTGAAATGCTTTAGCACACTGAAATTTGTGGCCCTCTGTGAACTTGTGGCCGGGGCCAAATGGCCCCCCTCCCCATGGTGCACCTGCCACACACTTCCCTTGAAGTCCAGAGCAGTGTCTTGCCTATTGGTCGCACAGATAGTGCTGACTGCCACGGTCCTCCTCATGCCGGGGTGGCCAAACCAAGGCTTGGGCGCCACATGCGGCTCTCTGAGTATCTTTTGCAGCTTGCGGCTCACCACCAGAGGGGCCTGTGGGCAGCCACTTGCCGCTCACCACCTGCTGCCACTGCCTGCAGGCACCCACTTGCTAATGGTTGCCGCCTGTGGGCACCTGCTTGCAGCTCTCAGACATCTGACATTTACTATACGGGTTGAGCATGTCTGCCCCCCCCCCCCCCGCTATGGTGGGTCTTCTGAAGAGTGCAGCCCTGGAGAAGAAAGTGTCTGCAGCTGAGCATTGGGCAGTGTTGCTTTGCTGCACTTCTTCAGAGTTGATGGGAAGAAATGGTTCAGGTGCCAGAGTAAGACTGGAGAGACCCGAGTTCAAATCCTGACCCCGCCACGAAGCTCACAAGGTAATCCTGGTTCCTTCGCTCATCTACCCAGCAGGGCTGGTCTAAGGAAAAAAGGGGTGGAGACCATGAATGCCTTGAGTTCACTGCAGGAAAGGTGCGATATAAATGAACACCCAGGCTGAAAGTGGCTCCACAGCCCTGTGTATTCCCCGCCCCCCCCCCCAAGAGAACATGGTATAAACTGAACCTGAAATGGGGCATGAGCCTGCTCAGTTTTGGTGCGATAGGGAAACCAGCTTCACTGCTGGTTCTGCATCAAGGCTTGCTATGTATGGAAATTCCGTATCTGACTGGAAAAGCAATCCGGTATTCATTGACCAAGTGGCTTTCTGACCATGATTCAGAGAGAGCCAGGAGCCATGGCTGAGCAGCTTCAGGTGGGCCTGCTGGGCAATTTTATTCCTCTCTCACTGCATTATTCTACCAGTGGAGGACAGCAATGGCCAGGTAAGTCCTTTGACAGGTGCTGTAACAGTGCATCTCCAATGAGGAATCAGTTTATCAGGCTGACTACTGCAGTGTGTTTCATGTGGAGCAGCCCTTGAAGACAGTGTGAGATTTCAGGTAGTATGGAATGCTGTGATTCATCTCTTGACCAGGGTAGATCTGACTCTGGTTCACTGGCTTCAGTTCCTATCAGCTTCTGGCCCAGTACTGGCAATTATCTGTACTGCTATATTCAGTGCTTTTTTTGTAAAAAAAAAAAAAAAGGTGCTGGAACTCACGTCGCCGCCGGCAGTAAGCATACACACCAATTCCAAGCCAGCAGAGCAGCATCCCAAGCAGCTCTCTCTCACTATCAGATAGCAGATGGCAGACACAATAGCA